CAAGTCACTTAGCTCCTCTGAGCCTCAGTTTCTTTGTCTGTGAAATGGGAAGCCCAGGGCCTACCTCCCTGGTTCAATGAGCCGCTGTGGTGGCTGGCGCCTTCACAGAGGCTCAGTGAACTGGTGAGAACTTTCTCTGAGTTTCCACACATCTCCGTCTGTGCATGCTGCGACTCTCCTTCAGGACCGCGTCGCTGACACCTCTTGGGTCCCATGCAGCTCTCTAACTGCTCAAGACTCAGCCTGGCCCACAAGGGACTATGCAGCAGAACAGACAACTGCCCACCTTCATCCTAATGGAACCTGGAGGCCACCTCTTCTGTCCCCTCTGGGGTCCCTGCCTCCTTCCCCATCCTTCATTTTGATAGACTCAAAAGGACACCCTAGAGCACAACTCAAGCTGGAAGTTTCTAGAATTCATGAAAAAAGCCCTACACTGGTGGCAGAGGTGTTCCCAAGGCCCGGGTGCCTCACACCCCCAGGCCAGCCTGCTCCTTGGAGAAGGGTTGGTACCTCCTATTTTCCCAGCCAGGAGGCCGGCGGGTTCCCACATTACCACATGAATGGGGCACAAGCCCCTGGTCCACTCGAGCAAACAATTTGGCTAGCAAATTGACATAATTATGAGAGACAGAGAGGGAAGAAAGCGGCCCCCACCCCGGAGGCCCCCCAGCGGGTGGCTCCCGCCGAGCTCCTCCCTGGCTTTGTGGGCCCGGCGCTCAGGGCTGATTAGAAACCGTGTGGCCTTTTCAAGAGCCCTAAGTGATTGGCCCCCTTAATCTGATTACAATTTGCAGAGCCCCTCCAGCCGCCTCTGAAGGGTCTTTCTCAAGCACCCCGCTCGATGGTGCACACACACACACACACACACACACTTAGCACCCACTTGGGCCTGCTGGTGAGGGCTCTGCTTCTCTTTGTCCATGCCTCACTTCCTCAGTCAGGGACCTTCAGTGGCCCCAATGGCTGCCCTTAGGCCCCAGTCCCCTCAAGGTACGCGCTAAACTTCAGACACACGCTGCCCCTAACACACTGGGTCACCTATCTTTAAGGTCCCACACAGATACCCCGCCCAGGCGAGGGGCACATGTGGACACCCCATCATCCATCCTTCGTCAGAGAGGCCACTCCCAGCATCCAGTTCCAGGCTGCGTGACCCCATCAAGGGCGACCCTCTCTCCACAGCAGCTATATTTCTGGGGCTCCTCAGGCTGCAGCTCCCAGGGGATTAGGCCCAGCGGGCAGCCAACTCAGGCCCAGGCTGCTCAGACTACCCCCCCTGGGAACTCAGCCCTCCACAGCCACTTTGTAGCTCTTAATCCCCGAGGCTCAGCCACAATGGCTCCTTTTCCCATACTTTTTCTTGCAGGCCCCAGCCTGGCCTCCCACCCCAAATGGAGTCCCCCCACCCCCGGGCAGCAGCTTAAGATGAGGGTGGGGTGGGGGGTAAATCTGGGGCCAAGGCAGAAGGGGACAGAAGATGGGGCTAGCTGAGCACGCGTCCCCCAGGAGGAGCAAGTTGGGCCTGAGCCGGTAGGGAACTTGCCTAGGGCCCTCGCGGGTGACCACCCCCAGCCTGCTACACCCCCATACTTCACAGCCCGCAGCCTGGAGGCCCTGAGAAGTGTTTTCTCCACTTAGGAACCTCACTGTCTTCTCAGACTGTCCGGAAGCCCTTCATGGGGCTGGGCCAGAGAGCAGAGAACCTGGAGCCCAGTTTGAGACGTTGGAATCAGAGGGACCCGGGCCCCAGTCTCACCCTAGCACCATCTTTAATAACCCTGTGACCTCGGAAGGGTTACTTATTGCCTCCGGGCGTCAGTCTCCCCACCTGTGAGATGGGTCTGATACAAAGCTTTCTGTCAGGGTGGCTGAGAGGTTCAAGAGCAGAGGGACTTCAGGCACTCAGTAGGGCGCGGGACACACAACTGCCATCAAGGCATCACGGGTGAGCCAAGGCCAGGAGGAAACCCGGGGTGCAAACACAGGTGGGGGAACAGTCTCTGTGCACCCCTGCAGCCCTGCTGGAAACGTGAGGCTCTGCAGTGCCGGGGCGCGGGGAGGGGGGGCCCTGCCGTTCAGGACAAGGCCTCGCAGGCGCCAACAATTTTTAGATCTCATCCCTGATCACGAGACGAGCCACAGAGCGAGTCTGGGCAACAAGGTCTAGACCTAGGTCGCTCCCTGCATAGGGCCCCGGGCACGGGCCCCCAGAGCAGCCTCGACAGTGCCCTGAGGCGCCCGACCGACCTCCGCCCTCGGTGCCCTCCCCGCACAGCCCCCAGGACCCAGGTCGGGTAATGGGGTGGGGGGGGAGGAGGGGTCCCGCCCCCGCCCCTCAGAGCCCCGTGCTGCGCGGGCTCTGGCCCCGCGAGCGGACCGCGGGCGGGCTCCTCCGGCGGCCTCTGGGAGGGTCTCCCCCGGCGCCCCCGCGGCCCCGCCCCCGCGCACAGGCCCCTCCCCGGCCCTCGTGGGCGTGCCGCTGGGCGGGGCCGCCGGGCCGGGGGCGGGCGGCTGGGGCTGGGCTCCGCGGAAATCAAAGCCGCCGCTCCCCTCCTCGCCACGCCGCACCCCTGCCGCGCCGCCGCGCACCTCCTCCTTTGTCACAATGTTTTTCAATCCGGTGAAGCAAACTGTCCAATTAGAGCCGGGGCCTCCAGCTTCCATCTTTGCCGACGTTTAATTAACATGCTCCTCTTGGCAGCTGCTGACAAGTTCCAGAAACAGGTTGTAAAGGGTTTTTGTCTTTACCCAGCATGGAAAATGAGGGGTGTTACATCGCGGGGAACATGAATAGGTTGCATTTCATCTCCCTCCTCCCCTCCTTCCCCCCCACCCCCTCCCGGCACGGAGAATGAAGGCCTGAGTGTGTATGTATGTGTGAATTGTGAGGGGGGCGGGGAGGGCGGATTTGGAGGCAGGAGAGACCTTCTCCTCCCTCTCCCCTCACCCCTTCTTCCCTGGAGTCTTTGCTCCACAAAGGATCTGGATTCTGCTTCTTCTTCGCCAGCTGGCACACTTTCGCCTCGCGCCTTTTTTAGCCATACCAAACCTCGCCATGTTGATTCCTATCTCTGGGTCTCTGCCTGTGCCATCCTTCTGGTAAACTCCTATTCAGCCTCCAAAACCCTGCTCCAGTGACCTGCTCTGGGAAGCCCCCTGGGCATCGGACGGCTGTCAGAGTTCAGGGTGGACCCCAGCTAGACTGTGAGCCCCCTAAGGGTAGGAAGTGTTAATCTGCCCAGGGTGGTGGCTGGCCGCAGGAAGTGGGGAGAGCTAAACTGCTGAAAACTTCTCCCACTGTGGAGGGAGGGAAGGGTTGGGGTCGGGGGACTGGCCCGAAGGAGCCTTCCCCCCTATTCTCCCACCCTGCCTGAGTGCCCTCGAACGGGAGCAGGGTCACATGAGGGGCATGGTAAACATGGCAGTTTTCATCATGGGTGTGTTTCTGGGATGGTTGATGTGAAGTCAGGAAGGGCCTTGGAGAGAGGCCCTAGCCCAGAAGCTGAGCCTGGGAGGGGGCCCCAAACTGGGGCAGCCTCCAGCACCCCAAATTCTTCCTCTCCAGCCTGGGATGATTTCCCTTGCCTTGTGGGTTGGTGTGGGAGATCAGGACTGGGGCAGGAGGCCAGGCCTCTCAAGTCCTTTTCTCGCTCAGACTGGCCCTGTTGGAGCATTCACACCCATTCTACAAAGAACACCAAGAACGTTTATTCACGGAGGCCGCCATCTGCACGGCACAGAGTGGTCTGGGGGACGCAGGGAGCAAGGGAGGTGCTGGCCGAGGGGCAGGCAGGGAGTGGAGGAGCCCAGCAGTTGGTGGCTGGCAGCTGCGTTGTCTCCTAGGAGGGCTCGGGTCCACTGCCAGCTCCCAGCCCCACTCCTGCCTGCTTTTCCCAGGATGTGGCCACCAGGAGCCCTGGAGGCAGGCCTCCTGCAGCCAGGGCCTGGCTTGGATGCCCACTTTGTCTATAGCTCTTCCTCCTCTATTCTCAGGCAGGCCCCCTGGGATGAAGGGGAAGGAAAGAGAGGCACCCTGGGCCGGGCCAGTAGGTGGGGTGCTGCTCGCCTTGCTCTTGTGTTCCCAGCTTGGTCAGCACCGCTCCTTTGGGAGCGCCGGCACAGTCTGTGGAGCCTGCAGGGAGAGAGCCAAGAGCAGCGGGCCACTGTGGGGTCCTGCTATAGCCCCTTGGGCACATTTACCTTTTCTGGACAGGGTGGGCATCAGAGGCAAGGGGTCCCAGCCTCGCTCTTCTCTATCCTGCAACCCCAGCATCCTCTCCTGCCACATCACTCAGCCTTTTGCCCCAGACACAGCTCTTTCCAAGCTCTGTCCTCCAAGGGGATCAAACAGCCCTACTGAGTGTAAAGGTAATGACCTGGAAGGATCCCATGCCCTCCACTTGCACTGTGTAGCCTCGAAGAGTCTGAACTTCTCTGAGCCTTAATTTTCTCATCTGTTAGAAAGAGGGAAGTAGTTGCACCTGTCGTGTCGAGCTCTCTGGAGGGTGAGATGCAAAAGGCGGGGCTTGGTGCATTCCACAGAGGAGCAAGGAAAGGTGAGCTGATGGGAAGAAGAAAGGAGACAGAGAGAAGGAAGGAAGAACAAGCCTGAGCTGATCCACTGAATAGAGCCAGACCTGTCATTTCCACTTTTATAGATGAGGAAATTGAGGCTCCGTCTGTGGGTGAGGAGATCCTCAAAATCACAGCCAGTAAGCAGCAAAGCCAAGTGTGTAGCCAGGTCACCTTCTATACATTCCTTCCAGTTCAGAGCGCCTTCCATACTCCTGTGCCTGTCCCGGCTTGCAAGGAGTGTGACTCTGAGGCCGCCAACCCCCGCGTGCCCACTCCAATCCAGGCAGGAGGTGTGGAAGCTCACATCCTCATTTCTTGATGCTTTCTTTTTGCCCCTTTGCCGGTGGCATCCAATTCCCAGAGCTGGGCCCCCACTGGGAGAACCTGCCCGTGCTCACCTGCTTCTCACCTGCCCTGGGAGTTTAAGGTTCTGAGGGCTTGAGGGTAGAGTCCTCAGGGTGCAAGACCGTGCTCTTTGGCTCCTCAGGCATCTGCAGAGAGAGGAGGGCAGCTCAACGGGCCTTGTCCCAGGCCAGGCGGATGGGTGTCCCTGGTAGAACTACAACAGCCTGGACAAGTCTGGAGCAGCGTATGCTGTGTGGCGGGCGCCACCTTGTGATCACTGTGCAGAGCTCATGCAGAGAAGCAGGGCAGTCCACACCGGTATCATGCCCTCTACAGCAGGTTAGCCACTGTCCAGGGTGCTGGGGCACTGCAAGGACGAGACGGGGTCCTTGCCCCACTTAGAGCAACGGGAGAGCGTTCAGGTGACAGGCACAGTGACAATATGAGCTGTAAATGCACACGAGAGGCTGATAACCCGCCTGGAGGGGTGGGATTCCGGTTGTGCTGAATGAACCCACTTTTGAAAGATGAGTAGTAGTGTGCCAGAGAGAGGCCGCATGGCAAGCTCCCTGAACAGCAGGAAGGTCCCAAAGTGAGGTGGGGTGAGATGTAGGGGAGGCCAGAAATGGATGGGTAGCTTGAGTGGGGTGTTAGGGGGGGATCAGTCTTGCCTTGGCTTCAAGGCTTAGATTTGATCTTAAAGACGGCCTCAGCTGAGGTCCAGGGGAGCATCTGTCTCACCCCGTCCTCTGGAAAGCCACCTCATCTCCCAGGTAAACCACCCAGGGGCCAGGGGCTGAGGGGACGGCCTGATGGTGGCTCACTTCCACTGACACAGAATTAGATTTCAAAACCGAGCATTGCTGAAGGGTATTCAGCAGATAGAAGGTGTGAACTTAGAATAAATTATAAAGATCAAAACAGAACCAAGAGTGAACTTCTTTGTATGGGAATTGGTAAGTTTTTTAGTGTATTTCATTAGCGGTAAATCCATGTGATTTCTAATTGTGGTGTCTAAAATAGTTTAAGTTCTGACTTTAAATATGGAATGAAATAATGCTGCTAAAAAAAGAAAGTTTATTAAGAATGTAATAACACAGAATAGTTTTTACGATAGAGAGAGAGAGAGAGAGCAGAATCCCAAATTGGGCATATGATCTTCGTTAAGAAAAATCTGGGCGGATTAAAAAAAAAAAACAAAAAACACTGGAGGGACATATACCCGAAATATTAGCAGCGCTTGAATTAGGGTGATGGGATTTCTTTCTAATTTTCTCTATTTCCAGATTTCTCTTAATGGGCTTCTATTCGTTTTATAATAAAAAGATAGTTTAAAGAGAATGAATTCAAAAGCGTTATTAGTTATGTATATAAAATTGGCTTATAGTGGATATCAGTGAAAATTACTCAGAAAACTTTCTGGTGTGGTTTTAAAAATACAGAGCCATATGAAAGGCGGTGATGAGCAGGCCCGTGTCTCAGGGACCACAGACACAGGTTAGGTCCTGCCCCCTGTCATGAGGGGAAATGCAGGTGGCTGTCATCCTCCACCATCTAATGCAGGTAAACACCTGCAACAAGGATTCGTCGGGAGGGAGGCCTGCCTGAAGTCACAGAAAGCCCAAATTGTGGCATGTTTTTAAAGAAACAGAGTTTTGTGACATCCTACTACTTTCAGCTTCTAGAACAATGTTTCTCAAGTTGGGTTTCTGTACCCATACTCTCTGGATGCTGAAAGCAATGGAATGTCGCTCAGTTTTCTGGACCAGAATCAGCTGGGAACTTGTTCCCAAGAGGAGGCCCTACTCAATTACAGTTCTGGGCTGGCACCTGGGAAGCTGCATTTTTACAAGGTCTCCGGGTGGTTCTTATGGAGTCTGAAGCTGAACACCACAGTGTGGTTCTTAATCTGGGCTACATTTGGATTTACCTGGGGAAGCTTTAAAAAAAAAAAAAAAAAACCCAAAAAACTCATAACGTCCAGGTCCTAACCCCAGACCGATGAACTCCAAGCCTCTTAGAGCTGAGGCCTGGGCTCCGAGTGTCTTTAAGGTTCCCCAGGTGATTTCAATGCACGTGGAAGGGCCGTGGTTCTCAGAGGCGGGTGTAGTTTTCATCAGAATCACGTGGAGGGCTTGTTGAAACAGTGCTGGGGCCCACCCCTGAATTTTGGATTCAGGAGATCTGGGTGGGACTCAAAAACTTGTATTCCTAACACGTTTCCAGGTGCTGCTGGTGCTGGGGAGCACAGGGGACCACACTTTGGGGAGGACTGCTCTAGAATAAAGCCTTCAGCCCCCAAGAGACACACAGCCTCTGGATGGAGGAGCAGGGTGATGCAGGCTCTGTCCCCCAACCCTCAGCTTCCGGTCCCTCGGGGGCCCCAGCTCGGCTGATGTGGGCAGGGTCCCCTTTGTGCAGGGGAACAAGGCCCTGGAACTCACCTCCCAGTAGACCGAATCCTCAAAGCAGTTCTCGTCAGCGGGTTGCCCCCAGAATGGCAACTTCAAAATAATCCCTAAAGAAAGTTGGGGGTCACACAAGGTCAGGAACCACTTCTTCTCAGTCTACCCAGCCCTTCTCCTTAGCTGGGAAGCATTTCCCCCGCACACCCCAGTCCCACAGCCACAAGAGCACGGGATTCCTGGGGGCTCTGGGCTGACCACTGGTACGTGCTCTTGGGTCCCCCATCCACAGCGGCCCCAACTTCTCTCGCCCAGCCACTTCCACTCACCCACGATGATGCCGCCCACCAGGGCCATGGCCAGGGACACAAAGAGACCAGCAGCCTGAAACTTGCCCTGCATGCTTGCGTTCCAGTTAGTCTTGGAACCATCAAAGCCAAAGGCAACGGCAACCCTGGGGTGGAGATCAGGGGCAGGTCAGGGCTCTGCAGAGAGGCCAAGAAAGCACTTGCTGTCGCCCCACAAATGTGAGCGGGCACCAAGGCTCTGAGCCTTCCCGTGTGCACTGGACAGATCAGATGGTCCTAAGGCTTTTGAGGAAGGACAGAGGTTGGGGAGAGAAGCCTATGGACGGTGGTTCAGATTGGGGTAGGCTAGGAATACAGACAGTATGTTGGACCCCAGAGGAACAGCAGGAAGGAGGGAGCTCAGGCTCCCCTGCCCCTCCTCCACACCTACCCGTTTACTCCATACACATCACTGGTGGCACAGGACGCCGTCACGGCCCCCACGATGGCGCCGATGATGCCGGGAATGCCATGCAGGTTGTGAATGCCGCATGTGTCCTGGATCCGCAGCTGGGCCTCCAGGAACGGCTGGACAGGGGAGACGGCTGTTACTCAGACCCTGAGCAGTGGCAGGGGTGTGGGCAGGCCAGGATTCTGGAGGCCCCAAACACATGGAAACCCAGCATCCTCCAGCCCCCAGGCCCTTCCCTAGGGACCCCCCTCCTGTCAGGAACACAGAGAGCCCAGGATTTTCCAGCCCTCAGCCCCTGGCCTGGGGTCCTCACCGTCAGGTACACAAAACCCAGGGTGGAGACAATGCCGCAGATGAAGCCAACGATGAGGGAGCCATAAGGCATGAGCATCATTTCAGCGGCCGTCCCCACGGCCACCCCTCCTGCGAGCGTGGCGTTCTGGATGTGCACCTGGGTAGGGTGGGCGGGGCGGGCCGGAGCTCAGTCCTCTCCCAGAGCCCGCAAAGCTCGCCATGGGGGGGGGGGGCCTGCCGGCGCTGGGAGGCAGGGTTGACCCCCAGGGCACCTCGCGAGCCCGCAGACCACAGAGGGCCCCACCCGGGCCCCGCTCCTGTGCTCTCTGCACATTGGGCGCCACACCAGCGGGCTGAGCATTGTCCATGGCCACCAATCGGCGTACTTGCGTCGGGGTGGGTGAGCCCCCTTGGCACGTCTGCACGTTCCCTCTAGCTCCATGTGGGCAGGTGTGCATGTCTCCTGGTCTCTACGCTCACGTCTGCTGACGACAGGCACCTGCGAGGCCCTACGTGTGCGCAAACACCCCTGCCGGGGTCTGTGGGCCTGCAAGAGCACCAGCTGACCCCCTCTGAGGGCCGACCTGCACCCGGTACCGTGCTGCCCGCTGCGGGGAGGATTTCTGTCCGTCTCCACAGCAAGCCCAGGAGGTAAGGACAGTTATCTTTGGATGTTTGCAGAGGAGGAAATTGAGGTGCAGGGAGACCACACAGCTAGCAAGAGGCAGCAAGGTGTCTTGATCCGGGTCTGTGTGGAGCCAGGGCCCCTGACCTTGACCCTGTTCTGTGTCCTTGTCAGCGTGCGGGGGGTGGGGGTGGGGTCTTGGGCGCACACAGGTGTGCCCATGTCGGTGTGCCTGATTCTCTTCCCCCTGATGCAGGGGGAACCTAGTGTCAGACTAGGAAATAGAGAGGTGGTCTTCTTTTTATAGAAAAATCGACCAACACCTATGGGGTTTGGCCCCTCCCCACTAACGACAGAACAGTTTGTCCCAGTGGTCTGAGAGGAAGGACACTGTGAAACCTCATCCCCCCACAAACCTCCCCAGGGGAGTGGACAGGCATCAAAGGGGTCCCCTTTCTGAGGGTATGGGGCGGGGCAGGTGGAAGCAGCTTTAGGAAGGCTGAGGGCCAGTGTTTGGAGGATCAGAAGCCTGGCAGAGGGGAAGTGCCCCTGGCAACCGTACAGGGCAGGTCTGATGGGGTGCTCAGCCCAGAACAGCCATCAGCCCCCCAGGCTGGGAGGAGGAGAATGAGGAGGAAGAGGCGCTCATCCAGCGCAGCCAGTATAACAGAATCTGGGAATCTGGTTCTGGGCTCTGCCGAAAGCCAGCTATGGAATCCGAACAAATCATTTCTTCCCGAGACTCAGTTTTTTCATCTGCAGGATGGGTGTGATCATCCTGATGCTGCCTGCTGCCTGCCGCCTGCCTCACAGAGTCGTTGGCAGGGCATGGTGATCAGTGCGCACTGGGCACAGGCAGTCATAGTCACACCTCCCCCCAGGGCTCCCCAGGCTCCCCCCCGGCCCCGCCCCGCTGCTCACCATGTCCAGCTTGCCCTTCTTGTGCAAGGCACTGGACAGCGCCACCGAGGTGAGCACGCAGGCTGCCAAGGAGCAGTAGGTGTTGATGGCAGCTCGGTGCTGGGCATCTCCGTGGTTGGACACAGCTGAGTTGAAGCTGGGCCAGTACATCCACAGGAAGAGGGTGCCTGGCCAGACCAGACAGGACCGGTGGGCCCGGGAGAAGAGGTGTTAGATGCGCCCAACGGAGCTTAGGCAGACATCCTGTCCTTTAGTTCCAGAGATGTCATATGACTCACATACCCCAGCAGTTTCCCACCCCTGCAGCTTTCCTCATGCTGGGGGCTCTTCCCAGAACATCCTCCCTGTCTTACTTACTACCTAACTTTTACTTAGCCCTCCACTCTGCTCCAGGAAGTCTACCCTGACCCCATAACTGGGCTAAATGCCTCCCACCTTGCTCCCATAGCACCATGAGGGAGAATCTTTTTCTCTACTGTAGTTAGATTGTCTTGTAACATTGCCCTCTCTTCCACACACTGTGAGGAGCTCCTTGAAGGCAGGGCTGGGTTTTAGGAGGCCAGAGCGGGTGGTTGATATGTATTCTCTGGAATGAATGGACACAGGAAGTAGGAATTCACACCTTGCCCTAGCCCAGGGGATGGACTGACCAGTTCCTGGTTACCACTTTGTCTGCCTTGGGGCACCCTAGGGAAAACAGGATGAGTGACCAACTTCTTCCAGCCCCATGGGAAAAAGGGACAAACATCTGGGATCCTGGAGGTGTCTACAGGCAACCCCCCTCTGCCTTTTCCCCAAAGGGAACTGCCTGCCACCCACCAGACCACGTGGGGATCAGGTGTAGTTTTGGTGGCCTGAACTCCTCATGGAGACCCTCACCCATCATGGTGGTCCTCACCCATCATGATAGCCCGTGTCCATCATGGCCACCTTCACCCATCACGGTGGCCCTCAATCATTATAGCCGCTCTCACCAATCATGGCAAAGAGGTCCGAGTGGTACACAGCGCTCTGTCTCTCCTTGCTCTGCTGTAGGCTGGGTCGGTAGAGGATCCAGGTCACTGTGAGCCCAAAGTAGGCGCCAAATGTGTGGATGGTCATAGAGCCCCCTGCGTCCTTTACCTGGGGTGTAGGGATCTGTCAGGCTCTGATACCTTCTCTCCCTCCCATCTATTAGCACTTTCCGTCCCCACCCCCGTGAAACACACACACACACACACACACACATCTCCATCTGTCTCTGACTCCACAAGCTGCAGGATGGAGCCCAGGGCCCCCACAGACCAATCAGTTGGGAAGGTGAGAAAGCGGGGATCCCTGAGCCCACACTGTGAGCCTGTCAGCAGAATGCCAGAGCATCCTCACCCAGCAGATGGGACTGTGCCCAGATAGGGAAACCCGGGCTTGGAGAGGACCTTGCTCAGTCACACAGTGGGAAGAGGTGAAGCAGAGCTAGAACCCAGGGCCACCCCCTATCTAGTTTGTCACCCACTAGCTTCTACAGTATCTTAATTCCTGGGAGCCCTTCACTCCCCTCCAGGCCGCCCCTCCCCACATTTCTTCCTCCATAGTCACTCCTGGCCCAACCCCACTCCGTCTAGACTACCGCTTCTCATCTCCCTGGCATCCTGCCACACTCCTTGCCCAACAACCTCCCAGCTGACTGCCCACCGCCCACTCCATCCCCATCCTCCTCTCCCCCGTCCCCCCTCCCCCAGTCAGAGCATGCAGATTGGTTTCTTCCTCTTCTGTCCCTTTCTGCCCTACCCCACTCTGTGCCGCAAGTTCCTCCTTCACAAAGTCGGGGAGACCAGGGTGCCTTACTTAGCAGGGCTGTCTCGAGGGTGAAATTAGACAACTCGTGTACAGCACCTGGGAAGTGCCTGGCACGCCACAGGCGCTTGGTTGGCTTAGCCTTCCTCCCCGTGCCCCCACCTTCCCTCTCAGCCTCCTGTTCCTCCCTACTCAGAACCAATCTCAGGGGAAATTCCAATCAGAATCAGAGACTCGCTCCTTCACTGTAGATGGGGAAATCCAGCCAGAGAGGTTAAGTGTGTTGTCCAAGGTCACAGAGCTAGTTAGTTGTTGACAGAGCTGGGTTTCCCGGTTCCCAGCCTGGCAGGTGCCTCTACTAGCCATGGGACCTGGGCCTAGCCCGTTAACCTCCGAGCCTCAACTTTCTCTTCTGTAAAGTGGGGGTAATAATTGCGCCTATCTCGGAATGAGGATTAATGAGATAAGCCATGTGAAGCATTCAGAGCCAGGACCTGCCAAGGGCAAGTGCTCCTTACATGTCAGCAGTGATTGTTGTATTTTGGCTTGGCACAGAGACAGGCCCAAAGGCTGTCAGGCATTCAAAGAATTTCTGTAGCAGGTTGGGAGGATTTTTGAGGGCCTTTTAACTTGCGCCCAAGATACTACATTCTCAGCCTATTTCAAATCACACTAGCTGCTTTATTCTCCACACCTCCCACCCCAGCCAGGCCCCAAGGCCAGCGTACTCACCTCTTTTATATCTGTCGAACTATCATCTCCTCCTTGTACTACCTCAGTCCCAGTCCCATTATCTCTCATCAGGGCAACAAGGGCAGCCTCCTAACTGGGCTCCCTGCTCCCAGCTGTTCTCCTTACCACAGCCAAAGAGGCGTTTCCATTCCATGTGTCTGACCGTGCCACTCCCCTGTCTAAAACCTTCCATAGCTCCCCACTGCCCGCATGACAAAAGTTGAAACCATTTAATGCCATCTTCAGGAGCTTGATGATCCATGCTCCTCCCTCCATTACCCTTTCGAACATTCCCCCCACCCCCACCGCATACCCTCTTCCAGCCAGGTGGAGCCACCGGAGACCTCTCGCCGTGGGCCTCCCTCAAGGCCTATGCACTCACTGTTCCCCCTGCCTCACTCCTTCGCCTGCTTATTTCCCACTTGATTTCTAGCTTTGCCATCTTTTCCTCCAGGAAGCCTCCCTGACCTGTCCCGCTGGTACAGACACCCTCCCTTTAGGCTGTCAAGCCCCTGACCCCACTCCTCATCGTACTGCTTGGTTACTGTCTATTGACTTCCTGGCTCCCTCTCTAGATTGTGAGCTCCTTGGGTGCGGAGTGAGAGGCCTGCTCACCTCTGTATGGCAGCACCAGGAGCATTGCTCAATGTGCAGTCAGACTCCAAAATGCATTTACTCGATAAACACTTGTTGAGCACTTATTAGGCATTGAACTAGGTGCTGGGAAACAGACGGTCCAGACACATCAGGTTTATCAGAGAAGAAGTGTTACGAAGAAAATAAACCGAGTCAATATGAGAGATAGTGACTAGGGCTCAAGTGGGGGGGGCAGTAAGATAGATGGCAACACTATGGGGTGGGGAGAATCTGGGAGGGCCTCTCTGAAGAGGCGATATCCCAGCTGAGACCTCAGTAATGAAAATGACTGAGGGACGAGCATTCCAGGCAAAGGGAATAGCAAGTGCAAAGGCCCTGAGGTGGGACCAAGCTTGATGTGTTGAGGGGCAGACAGCAGGGTGTGGCCAAAACACAGGAAGATGGGGAGAGGGTAGATTATAAGCTTGAAGGGAAAGGCTGAGGGCAGAACATGTGGGGCTTTATAACACATTTGGATTTTACGCAAAGAAATTTTAAAAACCACTGGAGGGTTTTAATCGGGGGAATGGTCTTGCATGCATTATTAACAGGTCTCCATGGCTGCTGGTGGAGGTTGGCCTGAGGCAGGGAGTGGGGCAAGGATGAAGATAGGGAGATGAGTGAGGAGGAAGAGAGATGGTGGCTTGGGCTAATCTGGTGGCTGAAGAAAATGACAAAATGAATGACTGAATAGTGTGACCTAAAAGAAAAAACAAAAAAACTCTACCCCTGTGGGGGGTGGAAGTGTTCCAGGCAGAGTCCAAATGTGGAGGAGCTGGGGGCTAAGAAATGGATGAAGTCTGTGAATGACCTTCACCCCTGCAAAGTACCAAAGAGGCCTCTGAGCTAGAGTCAGAGGTCTAAGGTGCCTCTTACTTGGGTCATTGAATCGGCCAACTTCAAGGGGCATCATTCCTGCCATAGTCCATGTGAATGTCATCTCTGGAGTTGTGCAGGGCACAACCTATGCAGCTGTACATGTCCACCATAGCTATTCCCCTAGGATCCTTCCTTATAGATGTGCCCCCTCAATACACTGGGTCCTTTTCTTGGCAGAGCATTCTGGGAATGAGGTGTGTGCATCAGAGTGTGTGCAGGAACACCGACTCTTTCCATCCGATATGCAGGAACGAGAAAGGAGGGAGAAAACCACCATATGAGGAGCCCCTGCTCTGCCCAGGTGCTGGACTGATTTGCTAGGTGGACCACCATTCCTGCCCAATAAATGTCATTACTCTTCTTTTAGAGATGAGGAGACTGAGGTTCAAAAGGTTAAGTGGTTGGCTAAGGGTGAATTGAATCCAGCTGGCACGCCTCTTCAGCCCTCCCTTTCTCTCCTTCCCTGCTGTCACCCCAAGTGTCCCCCGCCACCCCCATCCTGAGCCCTGCTCACCTCTAGCAGGCTGAGGAGGATGTACTCATTCACTGAAAAGAGGGTCACTTGGAAGAGAGTCATGATGAGTAGCTGGACGGGGCTGACTTTGCCCAGAACTGCCCCAAAGGCCACACAGACAGAGCCCACGCAGAAGTCGGCATTGATGAGGCTGCGGGGAGACAGGTCAGGGGAGGGGTGAGGCAACAGCGCAAAGTGGCACTCTGAGTCCCGGGTTTGAATCTGGACATGGTCATCTGTGTATTTGGCCTTGTGGCTTAACCTTTCTGAGCCTCAGTTTCATGGTGTGGTCATGAGCACATAACATCTTAAAGCTACTCTAGGAATGAGACGAAATAGCACGTGAAAGGGGCAGCACAGCAATGTACCAGATGCCAGATGCCAGACTCTTCCCCCGTGGCCCCCATCCCAGCGCCCCCTCCTTGCAGGCAGCTTGTATTCAAGTCACCCAAGTTGTCTGGCTGCTGTTCTGGAACATGCCCCATATTTGGGGGCTTGCCCTGCCCTCCATCCTCTGCCTGCCCTTCTAGAACCTCCTCTGACTGTCTTCTCTTTCAGGAAGCCTGCCTGGATTCCTCCACGCAGATGCGGTGTCCACCTCCAGACCCTTATCTCTCACTCTACACACACCTCTCCTGCTGGCTACCAGGGCCCTGCTTGGGTTTGAGCTCTCATGACCTGCTCGTCACCTTACCTGGGAGAGGGGATCTGTGTCCAGGGAAGAAAGAGAGGCCTTCCTGCAGGAGGTATGTGGGGAGCTGGGGGCTCAGTGGAAGGGGGCAGGAAGGCCAACAGAGAGAATAGAGGCAGAGGAGCACCTAAGTTCTCCTAAAGTCTGGACCCTGAAAGCCCAGGCAGCCAGCAGAGGGCTGATGGAGAGGCAGACAGCCAGGTAGATGTCTTGTGGCCAAAGGAGAGCCTGGTTCCATCCACGTGCCTGCCTAACCCAGGCCTTCCTGTGCTCGGCCAGCAGCAAAGCTCAAGGCAGAATCATGAGAGTTGTTAATGGGGGGGTGGGTGGATATAGGGACAGTAGAGGCTACTTCCTCAAGACGTTCACATCCAGAGGAAGTGCCCTTGCCCCATGCTCAGGTGTCTATGAGAAAATCAGGAGGTGAGAAGTAAGAAGCCAGCTGATGGTTGGGCCCAGGGTGTGGAATGGGAGCTGTTCTCTCAGGGTCCCTCCCAAGATGAGGATGTTCATTGGAACTTCTGCTTCACTATGACCTTTGTTCACTGCTGTGTCCCCAGGGCCTCACACAGGGCCTGGCTGAAGGAATCATGGCATTTACTAAGTGCCTGGCACTGAAATACCTGTTAGGTACTGCGTATGCCCTCCTGTACCATGTCTAAACCCGAGGGGACAGGTACTATTACTAGCCACATCATAGAGATGGAACAGGGAGGCTTACAGAGGCCGAATTATTTGCTCATGTTCCCATAACTGTAGCCAGAAGACTGATCTGACAGAGGTGACCATCAGGAAGGAGTGAGGGGGAGAGCAGAAAAGCCCACACCTTGGGCCATCAGCTCCGGGGAGATGGAAGTTTGCATGTCACAACTCAGGAGGGCCCACGGAGGCTTGGGCAGAGCCCGTACAGGGCATCGCCCTACAGTGACAGGTAGGACCTGGAGGACTCTTCAGCAGGGACAGGACAGAAGCCAGGAGGAGGGTCTGGGGACAACATGATCATCCAGCCCTGAGCACCAGAATCGGCTCCATCTTGGTTGCTGCAAATCAATTCCCTGAAAGCCAGTTTGCCAAAAACTCAATTTGTCAAGTGACCAACTTGCCAAATAACTAGTTCACCAAAAACCTGCCAATTCACAAAGTTTACGATAATTCCCTTTGAAGATTTTTAAAAAGTTGTATACTTTTGTTTTTTCATCTAGCCATAGCTCTTTCGCTGGGGTGGCCAATTAAATATATTACAGGTGTTTTCATACTTTGGGTCTACGGCTTTGGGAGTGAGACTTTCTCGTGTATTTTGAACTGCATGTTGATATGCATGTCAACGATTTTATATACAAAACACTGACTTATTGATTCCAACACATTTTCTTTTTTTGGGGGGGGGAGTTTTTTTTTTTTTTTTAAGACTTTATTTGCGAGAGAGACAATGAGAGACAGAGAGCATGAGAGGGAGGAGGGTCAGAGGGAGAAGCAGACTCCCCGCCGAGCAGGGAGCCCGATGCGGGACTCGATCCCGGGACTCCAGGATCATGACCTGAGCCGAAGGCAGTCGCTTAACCAACTGAGCCACCCAGGCGCCCCCAACACATTTTCTATCTAGTCAACTATTTTTCCAGTTTCTCTTAAGTCATGGCTTCACTGACCTGCTTGAGTGAATTCGTATCTTACAAGTATTTGGCATGTTTTAAATTTCAGACACCTGGCCTATGACCTCCGGTTGATGCCCTCTATGTGACGTGGTTTTATGGCAGGTTGCCTCTAAACCCTTTCTGCGGACTTGGTCTTCCAAGCAGGCTAACGAGTGTTCGAGTGTTCGTTTGCACACCAGCCCCTTCGCCCTCTGGGCCCCGCTCCCGGGCCCCGCCCCAGCCCCGCCCCTTGCCTCTGGGCCCCGCCCCCGCCCCGCCCCGCCACCCTGGGCCCGCCCCCGGGCCCGCCCCGCGCTCACTTTTCCACGCCCACGTGAATGTAGCCTTGGTAGTAGGAGTGGAACCAGCCCTGCATGAGCAGCGCCCACTGGATGCCGAAGGCCGCCAGCAGGAAGTTGAAGCCCACAGAGCTGTAACCGTAGCGCTGCAGGAAAGTCATGAGGAAGCCGAAGCCCACGAAGATCATCACGTGCACGTCCTGGAAGCCTGCAGGGAGAGCGCAGCCCGGGGTCTCGGTGGCCTCGCCCGCCCTAGCCCTGGGTCTGGGCCAGCGCCGCCCGGCGCAGCGCCTGGTGTCTTCCGGGGCCGCCGGGCCCCCAGGTGGTCTCCCGAGCCCCCTCCTCCCATCTCTGCATCTGGATCCCAGGGCTAGGCGCAGTTGCCGCAGGCAGAACGGCCACTACCCGCATCTTGTCCTCAGAACCTCTGGAGGGGGCTGGGCTTGGGGGGACTGAGGTGAGCCTCCCACTTTCGACCGCTTGTTCTAATGCCAAGACGTGCCTGAGCGCCCCCTCAGGAGATGACAGCTTCGTCTCTCCACCCTCACCCAGGGCGGGGGTGAGCAGCTGGGCGTTTGAAATTGGGGCCAGGCTGTGGCTCACACCTAGAATCTAGGGTCTAGAACCCAGACTTTCTGCGGCCTTGCCCCCTCAATCCATTTTTTTAGTACAGAGAAGTTAGTCTCATCTGGGTCTGAGTCTCTCCAGGGGCCAAGCACATGAGTTGATCATCCCCCCCACCCCCGCCCCACGAATGTCACATCCCCCCTCCACCCCCTGCAAGTACACTTTGTTGTATCGCTGAGACCTGAATTTGGGCCCCAGTTCCTCCATCTGCTGGGCAGATGACTCTGGAAAGTCAGGTAACATCCTTGGGTCTCAGCGCCTTCTGTAATGCTTACTTACAAAGCCTGCAGAGATTAAATGCAGCAGTGTAGGTAAACCATCTCGCAGTGCCCATCCCATAATAGGTGCTCAAAATGGACAAGTGTCATTATTATTGTTGCTTTATTATTATTTATTGTTACTTAGGCATAGGCTAATTCTGCTTTTTGAACCAACTCTTCCACCAGCTCTTGGGGTGTGGCCTTGACAAGCTACTTCCCCTCTCAGAGCCAGTTTTCTCCATAAAACCAAAGGATGGATTAGAGTGATCGTAACTGTCCTCCCAGTTGCCTGATTCTAGAGTCCCAGAAAATAATAGAAGGCAAGGAGCTTTGGGAAGCAAAGATGGGTACAAAGATATAAGGCGCTAAGAGGATCTAGAGGTGTCCCAGGACACAGGAGCCAGATTGAAGCGTCCCCATTGGCCAAATCTGGGATGGTTTGAACACCAAAATAACTATGTACTGTAGTAAATTAAAACTATTAGGAAATAGGAACTCAGAATAGGAAATAAATGAGAACGCGGAGAGGGCTCTTGTAACTGAATGCTGAGAGCCAGACAGCTAAATGTGGAATGAGCGCTGAAGTTGGAAAATCGTGATTTTCACAGTAAAGACTCCATCAGTGGATGCTAAATCCAGGAGGAAATTTTGATGAAGAGCAGAACATTTGCAATGTCTTCAAGAGTCTTCCCAAAGACTGTGAGTTGCAAGGGATTGAAAAAAACAACCCAGTAATTATGAAGTGGAGAAACAGGACGACATCTCAACTGGGTGATCAAAATTAACCTCACCCATGAGGGACAGGTGGATTATCACGGGCCTTCAGATGTGATCATCTGAAGGAGACTTATCACCTGTATGGTATTCTAGCCCAGCAGGTATTATCCCAGTCTACTCATAAGGAAGCATCACACAAATAGAAAATGAGTAATGTGCAGTTAGAAGGGGGGGGTGAGGATTTCGTCTTGAAAAAGGTCAATGTCATAAAAGACAAAGGCTGCAGAAATGTTCCAAGTTAAAAGAGACTAAAGAGACATGCCAACTACATTCACTCCCTAACTCTGGACTGGATCCTGGATTTGGTGGTGGGGGAGTGCGAGGAGAGCTGTAAAGGTTATTTATTTTTTTTAAAGATTTTATTTATTTATTTGAGAGAGAGAATGAGACAGAGAGAGAGAGCACGAGATGGGGGAGGGTCAGAGGGAGAAGCAGGTTCCCTGCCAAGCAGGGAGCCCGATGCAGAACTCGATCCTGGGACTCCAGGATCATGACCTGAGCCGAAGGCAGTCACTTAACCAACTGAGCCACCCAGGCGCCCCTGTAAAGGTTGTTATTGACAAAAGTAGAAAATAATTAGAAAATTAGGTTGAGGAAATTAGAAACCGTATATTAAGGTATCACACAATATCGATTGATGAAATTGATTAGCCTCGTTATGGAAGAGAGTCCCTCTATTCTCAGGACGTATCCTGGAGTCATGAAGGTGACAACAGGGCCATGGCATGTGTCACCGACCCTCAGATGGTTCAGAGGAAACAAGTGTGTGTGTGTCTATGTGCGGAGAAAGAGAGAGAAGGAGCAGGTCGCTGAATTGGAGTTACAGAGTAGATAGTGCTCTTTATGCTAACTTCTGTTTTAGCAACTGCTTGAAAATGTGAAATTCTTCCCATGTAAAAAGTAAAAAAAAGGGGGGGGACCTGCAGGGCCCATCCACCTGCCCCATTGTTCTTTCCTCATTCTTGCCCCCTGCGCCCCCTCCATGCACCAGCCACACCAGCCGCACCAGTCTGGCATGTTCCTCCGCCTTCCCCTGGGGTCTCTGCCTGTGGCCTCCCCCTGCCCGGGATGCTGTTCCCGCAGAACTTAGGCCAACAACCTCTCTCTTCCTGCAGATCTCAACAAAACATCACCTCGTCACAGAGGCCTTCCTGACCCTCCAGTTTAGAGGCGGTCCTCTCCCTCCCGGCCCGCTCTTCCTTCCCTTCTAGTTCTTACTACAGTCTGCAGTTAGGTGTGTTTGTCCAGCCCACTAGACTGGAAACCCCCAGAAGGCGAGGCCGTGCCTGTTTGCTTCGCTCCGCTGTTCCCCAGCACCTGTTGTGGGAGTGGCCGGGGAGACTCTCAGTCAGTATGTGTGGCAGAATGAATGATGACTGGTGTGTCACCCCACAGCACCCAGGGGTGCCCGCTGAGCAGCAACCCAGGAGCCCCAGGTGGGACTTCCTAGTCAGGGGAGGCTACAGCCCCTCTCCAGTCCGACACCTCCTGCCCCCGGGGTGGAGGGCCTGGCCGAGGTAGGGGCAGCAATGCTGATGCTATAGCGTCCTAACCTTGCCTGCCCCCGGCTGCCCCATCTGTACCCCCCCCAGGTCTCCCTGGGGCCCAGGCCATGGCCACAGCCCCCTTGGCTAGCGGCCACCTGGAGGCGGCTTAGGGAGGAGGCACTGGCCCAGTGCAGGGTGGGGGTGGGGGCATGCCAGCTGAAGCAAGAGAGCCGTGGGTCTCACCCCAGTGTGGTCCTCGGAGCTGCTGTCTGGAGACCTGTGCGAATTTGCACGAACAAACAGCAGCTTGGTGTAGCTTTCACGATGCGTGCAGCTGATTTCATGTATTATCGCGTTTCCTGGTTTATCACGTTTCCAACTGTTGTGGGGGAATCTGAGCTAATGCGTGTGAGTCACCATATGCGGCATTATGGTTATTCTTGGAAGAACGGATGGGTGGCAGACTGGAGGAGAGGTGTGAAAGAGGGAGGTGACGCTTTCAGACTACAGTTCCAGCGGCAGGGAGGGGAGCTGGATGTGGAGTGGGAGGGAGGGGCTGCGTCTGGTGCTGGCCTAGGAGTTGAGAGGACCACGGTGGGGTGGGGGAGTCGTGAGGGTGGGCAGGGCAGATGGGAGGAACAGAGCCTGGCTGGGTGGGGTGAAGCGGGGACCTGAGCCCGGGGTGGGGGTGGGGGGCAGGCCGGCAGATGGAGCTGTGAGTCAGAATGTGGGCACAGTGAGGGGGAGAGAGCAGCTGAGAGTTGGCTTCCCTTTGAAGCTAGCAGGCCGGACAGGGAAGGCGCGGGCAGGGGGTGGGAGGAATCCCTGGGAAGAGGCAGTCACAGAGGATGGGGGCCTTTCGGCTGTTTGGTGGCAGAGAGGAACCATGTGGGCAGGGGTGGGTACTGTGGAGGGGGCCCTCCTGGGGGATAGCTGCAATTTCAGGGCTGCCTGAGGCTCTCCCCTTCTCAGTGCACCATCCCTGCCTGCCCCCCTCACCAGTTCTCTGTCCTCCGTGACTCCCCTCTGTCCTCCTGACCTCTCTCTTTGACCCTCTCTGGGGGGGGGGGGGCGTTTCTCTTTCTTCTGCCCCCACCTCAGGCACACAGATGCCAGCTTCCCTCTCCTTGGGCACCTCCCTGTTCATTCTCTTGCTCCCTTTCTGTTTATCTCCCAAACTGGTCCCAATTTAGAACCCCAATCTATCAGTTCATTAATTCATGTTTTATAAAGTTTGGTGCTACCTAGAATGCTTTTACTAGTAATGGTTTGAAGGTCCCAATTGTGTGACCTTTGGGAAGGACATCATCTCTCGGATCTTCAGTTTCTTTTTCTGTGGAGTGGGGTTAGTCCGTGAGCTTGGGTAGTGCTCATCCCAGAGCTCTGTGGTTCACATTTAATGACTTCATCCAGCCCTGGGTAGAGGCCTGGCTCTTTAGCAAATTGATCAATCGTATTCGTTACTATTTCTCTTTTTCTCTTTCAAGGCTGTCCTTGTGTTTTGCACTGAGTTGGCGACTTGCTGTAGATCAGTGGAAGTTGGTGAGACACCGTCCTCTCCCCCCTCTCTTTCCCCAGCCTGGGGTGACACAGCAGTCCTGCGCCACCCAGAATCTGTCCTCTCTACCCCAGGGGCACCCTCCCCCTGCACCGCCCCCCATGGGGCACAACTGGCAGGCTGGCTTGCAGCCACGAGAGCTGCCACAAGGGGGCACCAGTACACAGCGGTTCTCACTCTCCCCTTCTCCACCTCCTTCCTAGCTCCCACTCTCCACCGCCTCCAGGATGGTTCCCCAGTGAAGCTGGCCTTGGCTCTGAAATCTCTGAAATCTGAGTCCAGAGTTTCCCTGGGCCGCTGGACCATAGCAGCTTCCAACCCCCCTGCTGCATCGGCACAGAAAGCGTGGAGCCCTGCCTGGTGCAGGCTGGTGCTGCTCCCTTCCCATTCTCTGCAGGCCAGCCCAGCCCAGACTTGCTTTTGAGGCCTCCTGGCCAGGCCCTCACTTCCCCAAGGCTCTGTGCCCACCTCTCCCACACCGCAGAGCCGACCACAGAACCACCCCATCACCGCACAATCTCCTGGCAATGGTGCAGAGGCCCGGGAAAGCAGGTGGGCTGTGGGGTGGGAGGGCTCAGCCAGTCCCCGCCTATGTCACTGGCGCCGAGAGAGTTGGGCACATCTCTAAGGTCCACCTCGGGCACCACGAGATGGAAGGAAATGCCCTGCCTGGCAGAGCATGCAAAAAGCACTCGTAAGTGGGGAGAGCGCAAAGGAATTTAAATGCTAACATCGTTGAAACTAACATTCAGGAGACACTCCTTGGCTATATCTCTAAAGAGATGCTGTCCCTCCACTCACATACCTTCTGCGCCGGAGCACTCACTCCCCTCTGAGGACGCTTGGTACCAGCATTCACTGTCCCCTCACTTCTTGCCCCCAGATGTGCCCTACCAGTCATCTGCCCTCTTCAGTTTTCCTGGAGATCCAGTGCATTAAATAACATTCCCACTTCACAGATGAGCATACCGAGGCTCGCTGCATTTAGCGATGGACCCGGGTCTGTTTAATTCCCTCTGAGACTAGTGGGAATGGAGCTGAGCTGAGGTGTAGGTCCCAGGAGGGCAGCCAGCCTCACAGCTGTGGCTTCATCAAACAGTCTTTCGGGCATTGAAACTAGGGCATCCCCTGCCCTGGGTCATCTCCTAGAAATGTGTCCCGCTCCCCCTTCAGTCTTTGCAGGAAGTTTCAGGAGCCCAGACTCTGAGGGCTCCTCCTCAAGCCAACCTCCCCCGGACACTGCCAACAGCCACGGAGGCCCCAGAGCACCAGCCCGTGAGGAAGCTTTCTGTCCAGCAGCCAGTGCCTGGACAACAGGCCTCCGAGGGCACCATCCGGGCAGGTCCCCAGCTGGCTCGGTGCCTGCCGCCTGCCGAGGGGCCTATGCCTGGGGAGCAGTCCTGAGGGCCTCCTGAGCCCCAGCCTGAGCCAGCTGGAGCTGGGCTCTTCTGGAAACCAGAGATGCCCGGCAGGCTCCACTAATCCCCCCGGCAGGAATGAGGCCCACACAGGTGTTGTGCTGACAGCCTAGAGCCAAGAACCCAGGAGGTACCACAAGGGCATGCCCTCAACCCAGGCCCCTGGGAATTGCCACACTGGAGCCCCACCTGCACCGGAGGCCCCGTGCCCTCCAACTCCTAACCGTAACCACCATGACCAGGTAGACCAGAGAAGGGTCAGGCGGCGGGGGGGGGGGAAGGGGAAAGGCGAGCCTGGAGGAAGGAGAGTGAAGGAGAGGAGCCCAGGGTTCCTACGCTGGCTCTCTGGATTCCCTAGTCACTCCCCTTCTCTGGCCTTAGTCTCCTTGTCTGTAATATGGGGAGTCCCGACACTGCCTTCCTTCTGGGGTGGTGGGGTTGTCAAAGGAGAGAACGCACGTCTGCTAGCTTGCCGTGTTGCCATTACTTGCCAAGGAATCCCGAGGCCAAGAGTCTCTCCCTATACTCCTCTCCTCTCTGTCCCTTCCTGCATGATGACCAAGAGCTTCCCAGCACCCACAGGGGAAATGACAGGAGAAACGCAAGCCCTCCTTGATGGCTGGGGCTGTCTTGTCCCTCTTAGCAACCTCCCTCCTGTCCCTTTCACAGGCCCTACCCTTGTGCCACTCTGTACCACTCATGTGCTCCCCGCATGCCTGCCCTGCTTCCCCCCTCCTCACTGTCCCATTACCTTCCAGGACGCTGTCTCAGATCTCTTCTGCCCAGAGAACCTGACCCCATTGAGGACAGGGTGTTGGGGTGCTTTCAATGAGTCTGGGAGCCCCTCAGGGTTAGAGACCCAGGATGTGCAACTTGTTCATCCAGAGTGGCCATAAGTCTTGGTCTCTTGGAGGAGTCGGTGGTTTACGTGTGTGTCCTGGCAAATTACTGCTAGCACAACTTACCCACCTCCTCACTCTCAAAAGTGTTATTGGTCAATAAATTATATGGCCACCCTATAGGTAAGTGATTGTTGTGTGAATAAATGAAGGTGGAGTATGGAAGGTGGATGTGGATGGAGTGGGGATAGGAGCTGGGGAGATTCGAGGACCACACTCCTCATTGGGAAGGTTCTGTAGCTCCTGTTTTAGGGTTTTGAGACTTTCCACTGCCTAGACTCCTCAAGGACCTATGAACGCCATGGGAGACCTTACCTCCTGTGCTTTGCTGGGAGGCTGGCTTTTTGGCCAAGAGATGAGCAAGACCCAGAGCAAAGGAGTGGAACAGGCAAAGGAGGATCTCAAGCTGGTCTGCCTCTCCATTTGCTGGGTCAGTCCAAGGAGAGAAAAGGTGGGCAGTGAAGGGCAGATTTGGAGTCTAAATGCTAAGGCCTCAGCTGTCAAGATCTCTTAAAACACGGCCCCGAGCGGAGCCCAGTAGAGGCTGTGGTCTCAACCAGCACAGGGTACACCCCCGCCTCCATCACCTCCCTTCTTCTAGGCACCATATTTCTATTAATGTAGCCTGGGGTTGCGGTAGCTTTTTGGCAGCCATTTAATATGGCTGGCTCCCACTGAGTTGGCAGCCTCCTCACCCTTGTCTTTATTCATTCAGGCCATCATCTTGAATGTATGCAGTTATTTATTTGGATCTAAGTGAAATGTTATTTCTGGAGGTAAAGACTCCCATTACTGAGGGTATTCAAGCCACGGAGGGAACGCCGGTTGGCATGGGTGGCTGTTGCCAATGAGCTTTAGGGTCCCTGCCGAGATTAACAGTCCATGACCATGTGAGCACCACCAAGTTGGAATGATTGTCATTGGCTGCTGGTGGATGGTGTGGGCCGTCAGAAAGCACACGGGTATGGAAAGAGCCCTGGGCTGAGAGTCTGGAGGTTGGGCCGACCTGAGTGACCTTGGGCCAGTTTTTCCAACTCCTGAGTCCTAGGGCATCTGTGCTTAGTGTTCCTCCAGTAATTGCTCCCTTAGGAAGTGAGAGCTCCGTGGCCAGGGCCGTGAGCTCGACGAGCACGGTCTCACGCCAGCCTCACCCCTGCCCCGTAAGGCAGATGTGGAAATGGAGTCTCAGCGAGGTTGACATGAGCCTAAGGCCACCCACCTGGTCAATGGCGGAACCATGACAGAAGTAAGGTCTGGTGATTCCAAAGCCAGGCTCTTAACCACAGTACCACAGATACCAGAGAATTCAGGATGTTCCTTCTTCCTCTCCAAGCCAGAAGAGGGTGGGTGCCAGGGTCCCACACACCTCTCCTCGCAGCCACCTGCAGCCCTTGGCATGGGACCTACCCCCTAATGTGGAGAGTACGGGTCCAGCTGGACAAGGGAGCCAGGGTCACCCCCTGGTTGGTGACTGAGATGGGTCTCCGGTCTTTGGAGGACAAGTAGGGCTCTCTGGCAGGGAGGTTGGAAGGCTCTGATGGCCCCCGGAGTGAGCTCCCCCGGGTGAGTTTTCCCTATTTCTTTAACGCAGGGAAAAGGAGCTGGGGCGCACGCAGGTGGCCCTCTCTCAAGCGTGCTCTCCAGAGACTGGCGGGGGCCGGTGGGGAGGCTGAGTGGGGAGGGCCAGGGGGCTGTGGGCAGCTTCCCCTCCTCCAGCACCTCCCCCCCACCCCGCCCCGTTCCCGAGCCGCAGGCTGCGCAGGTGCAGCGAGGCAGGGCTCTGCGGGGACCTGCCGGGAACGCCTCTGGCGGGCGCGCGGGGTGGCCGGACTTACTCGGGTAGCGGTAGTAGAATTCGTTCTCCAGGTCGCTGGTGAAGTTCTCTTGCATCTTTTTGTTGGTCCAGTGCGGGTCAGCATCGGAGTCGTAGCGCACAAACACGCCGAAGAGGACCACCAGGGCCACCTGCAGGAGCAAGCAGGTGACTGGCAGCCGCCAGCGGAGATTGGTGTTCCAGACCATGCTGCTGGGGGCGCCTGGCGCGGAGGGCAGGCAGCAAGCAGTTCGGACTGACGCTCGCAGGCGGGAGAGGCTTATAAGACCCGGGCAGGGGCGGGGCGGCCGCGTCGGGTGGCGGAACAGCTGACCCGGGTGCCGCCCGCGCGCTCGCCCAACCCGCGAGGGGACCCGCGGGCTCGGGGCTCGCCTCCACCCGGGCGCCCCCCCCCCCCACGAAGCTCCCCCGTCGGGGGCCCAGCGGCGGGAGCAGGGGCCGAGCGGGCAGGTGGGCGGGGATCGAGGCGCCCCAACCTCTGCGGATCCCCTCGGTACCCGGGCCGCAGGTCTGTCCCCTTTTGTTCCCGACCCGAGACGGAAAAAGCCGGATTGTCTGCCTCCTACCGAGAGAGAGGAACGGAGGAATTCCTAGACGGCGCTCTTCATCATCAACAGCACCAACAGCATCACCATCCCTTTCTTTTTCTGATCACAAAATTCGCATAGGGTACGTGAACAACCAGCAAAGGCTAAGACCTGCTTGGAGAAGCTTGGAGAGGCGTGACCGCTCATACAATCCGTATCCTGGAACAGAGAGAGGATGTTAAGGGAAAAACTGGTGAAATCCACATAAAGCCTGAAGTTTGGTTAATAGCGTCGTGCCCATGGGGGTTTCCTGGTCGTGACAAATGTACAGGGCTTATGTGAGATGTTAGCAGGGGACACGGTGCGGGGTAAAGGAACTCTGTACTATCTTTGCAACTTTTCTGTAAATCTAAAATTATTCCTGAAAATAGGGTATTAAGAAAAATTATATATATATATATACACACACACATACATATATATGCTTATCAGAACAGTTGAGATTTTCACAGTTCATTGAGCTTACTCAGGAATTATCTGTTGGTCAATACGTGTGACCTTGACATGAGGAGGTCATAGAATTTAAGTTAAATCTATGCTTACGTCTATATTTTGTCAAAATAAATTTGATTCTCTAATTTTTCTTTAAAAAAGTATATTGTAGGGGTGCCTGGGTGGCTCGGTCGTTAAGCGTCTGCCTTCGGCTCAGGTCATGATCCCAGGGTCCTGGGATCAAGTCCCACATCGGGCTCTCTCCTCTGCGGGAAGCCTGCTTCTCCCTCCCCCACTCCCCCTGCTTGTGTTCCCTCTCTCGCGCTTTCTCTCTCTCTGTCAAATAAATAAATAAAATCTTTTTTTAAAAAAAAGTATATTGTAGAGATTTTGGAAAATACAGAAAGCCCTCAGAGGAAACAAGAAGACCACCTGTAATTCCTCCACCCAGAGGCAACACTGACATGAGAAAAAGGAGGGAAAGAGAGATTCATTCCGTAATACTGATTTATAGCTGCTTTATCTGCTTAATATTTTGTAGACATCTTCCCATATTCTTGTTCTTCTACACCATTTTTTTAAAAAGATTTTATTTATTTATTTGACAGAGAGAGACACAGCGAGAGAGGGAACACAAGCAGCGGGAGTGGGAGAGGGAGAAGCAGGCTTCCCGCGGAGCCCGGAGCCCGATGCGGGGCTGGATCCCAGGATCCCGGGATCATGACCTGAGCCGAAGGCAGACGCCCAACGACTGAGCCACCCAGGCGCCCTCTTCTACACCATTTTTAATGGCAGGATATACCATGCCGTATCTAGCCAATCCCCTAGTGTTAGGCAATGGGGTTGCTTTGGGTTTGTTTGGTGTCATAAAGAACACTGTCATGAACATCCAGGTTTATAGGTCTTTGTGTGGGTTTCGGTGAGTTCCCAGAGGCTGAATTGCTTTGATACAGGTTGCTCAAAGTCCCCCAAACAAAGCGTGTGCCTCATGAGCCGTGTGGCACCCATGCACCCTTGCCAACGCTGGATTATAGAAAACCATTGCCAGTTTGAATCCCAGATTCGTAAAAGGCAGGAATGGCATGCAGAACACCGGAGGCTGAGCTCCTGATCAGGGGTCTGGGAACTTAAATGTGGCTGCACTGCGCCCGACGGGCACCATTCCCTTAGCGGGAGAAGCAGACAGCTTCAAGACCCAGCCAGACACGCAGAAGCGATACCAGCAAGAGGGGCTGTTTATTACGTGCTTGCTGTGGCCAAACCCTTTAGACATGTTCTAATTCTCAATGGAGCCCTTGCAAAGGGGGGTGATGGAGCTCCATCCTACAGATGAAACTCAGTTGAGATTCAGACTCAGGGCTGTCTTATCTCACTACACCGTGCTGCTTGCCCCCTCTGGGCAGGGCAGAAGGAAGGTTCGGTTTCAGGTACGTGTCCCCACTGTTGCAGAGAGACACCTGAGTCCTGCACAGCCAAGGGAGAGTGGAGGGCAGGAGGCAGGGGCTGGGATTAAAGTTTGGAGATGAAGTTGGTGGGAGCACAAAGGCCTCTGGAGTCATCTATTCCCCAGGGGGCCATGAGCCCCTTTAAGAGAGGAATGCGTCTTATGTCTAACTCTCTCCCCTGCCCACAGCACAGCGTGCATGCAGAGCAAGAAGGATGAAGGAAGTGGAGAATAATATTCTTTGAGCCCCTGTGTCCTAGGCGCTGTTCTAGGTGCTGGGAGGTAAATCCCTGTCCCCATGGAAATTGTTGGGGCGGGGTGACAAAAGCAAGCACAGCAGAGAAGTATGTGGTATGTGCGAGGGTGACAAATGCCATGCAGGAAAAGGACATGGAAAGTGGACGAGAGGGGGCTGGGAGTGGGGAGGCCACATTGGGGGAGGGGGGCTGGGGGCATGGAGAGAGGGAGGGAGGGAGGGAGAAAGGGAGGCAGGAAGATAGAGAAAGAAAGAGAAGATTTGGGGCACCTGGGTGGCTCAGTTAGTTAAGCATCTGCCTTCAGCTTAGGTCATGATCCTGGGGTCCTGGGACGGAGCCCCACATCGGGCTCCCTGCTCAGTGAGGAGTCTTCTTCTCCCTCTGCCTCTGCCTCTCCCCCTACTCATGCTCCCTCTCTCTCAAATAAAATAAATAAAATCTTTAAAAAAAAAAAAAAAGAGAAGATTCTTCTGCTGGCTCTAGTCCCACCTTGCCCCTGATCTGGGGGCATGGCCCCCTCAGCAGCACTTTGATGAATGTCCCAGAGCAGCTGTTTCCTTCATTGGCTGAGCTTCCAGTCCCCCCCAGCCCCTAATGGCCAGTAGTTGTATTTCTGGTGCCTCTGGAGGAAGAAATGGCCACTGCTCCCAGAAACCTAGAAAAAAATGTCTCCTCCAAGAATATTTTCTCTGCAGCTACCAAAGTAAGGCCAGGCCAGCAGGCTGCCCCACTTCTGAAGAGGCTGGCCCTCTGCAGAGTGTCTATCCTCCCATCATGATGTGGGGCTGGAGCTGGGCGGGAAGATGGGAGCTCTCTCCCCTGGACCCTTTGTCCACTTTCTCCTGTCCCCAATCGCCACTTCATGCATTCATCCATTCATCTTTCTTCCCTGCACTGGCCTCACGTGATCTGCTCGTTTATCTGTCTGTGGTCTGTCTCCTTGTACCAAAATGTCAGCCCCCAGGGCAAGGGCCCCTAGAAGAGAGCCTAACTCAAGACAGTGCTCATTAATGGCTTTTTGAATTAATGAATGAACTCTTTCAATTTATTCAGTAATCAAAGTGTGTCCAGAGCACCTACTGCATGCACAGCTCAGTGTTCGGCCCAAATAGCCTCACAAAGCTGCCCCCCATAGTTTGTACTATACAGAAGGAGACACAAGTGACTTGCCCTGGTGGCAGAATCAAGGACTCTCCCATGTAGTTGCGGAGAGCTTGGTGAGCACTGCGGTGATCAGGGTGGGCTTTGTGGAGTAGGAGAACTGATCTAGGATTTGCAGAGCAGGTAGGAGGTAGACCTTTCCTTCTTTTCTTTTCTTTCCTCCCCCCCCCAACCGCCCCGCCCCAGATGATTCCAGGCCACCTTCCCATCCTGACCTGGTACTTCCTCTGTCTACCAGCAGGCTGGAATTCTGGGCTTGTCCTCTGAGACCAGCGTTCAGAAACTGGCTGCTCAGGTCTATCAGGCCAGGCAGGGGTTTGCCAGAGGAGTGAGCCACTTCCTCCTAAAAAGTGGGTGACTTGACAAGTGGGAATGACAGGTGGGGATGATGAGTTGGGATGGTTCCCCAGTGGGGAGGTAGGGTGTGGCGGTGACAGGGGCTGGCAAGGCCGGAGGTGGGGGCAGCGGAGGCCGTGTGGTTTGGGCCAGGGGTGATTCAGTTTGTCCTGCTTTTGCAGCAGGGTCTCCCTGCTCCAGGCTTGGTGGGCGCGCAGGGGGAGCTGTGCAGGGACAGTCACTGCCATTATGTTTCGCCACGCCCATCCCTCAGGGCAGATCACCATCAGCATCCTTGGCATCTTTGGCCTGGGTCCCACAAGCAGCTTGAGGTTGTGGCAAGGACAGTAGGCCAGGACTCACAGGTTCCCGAGGTTGGTCTCAATGCCGCCCAGTTGCCGGTCCACACAACCTCTCTGGGCCTTATTTCCTCCATCTGTGAATGGGTACGTGCCCTGCTCACCACTCCAGTCTGCTGTGATGCTCAAAGGAGAACAGCAGCCTGATGCTTAGCGCCTTGGCCCAGAGGTTCAAAGGGGGCCGGGGTTTGAGTGCTAGCCTGGCTGCTTCCTAGCTGGGTGAACTTGGGCAAGCTGCTTAACCGCTTCGTGACTCCATCCTCCCATCCACACCATGGCGCAACAATACCCACCTCCCAGGATGGTTAGGAGGGCTGGATGGCAATTGCTGGAGGAAACGGTAGCTCTCATTTGCAACTGGAAATGAATGGGAAAGTCCCCTGTAAACTGGGGAGTCATAAATATAATTAGGGGTGGCCGCTATGATGCTGGATAATGGCATTCTCCTCTGGTGCTCTTTGAAAAGTCTGTAGAAGGTAAGGCCCTGGAGAGGGAGCCCCGTGCCCTCCCCAGAACCGCAGGGCTGGGAGCAGGGTTTGCAGCCCTGGGAAGCAGTTCTGGCCACACACCGTCCCCTTCATTCCCTTAGAGCACTAAGCTGCCTCCCCACACCCATGGGGAGCTCTCCAGTGTGGCCAGCCTGTGGGTCAGGGAGAGGAT